TTCAAGCAAGGCTATCGAACCTCTGAATGTAACACACCAACATTGTTTATGAGGGGCTATGATGTGGACAGCAAATCTAGACGAGCAYCTCCAAAAAGCAGAAAASAACYTGTGTCGAAAAAGGCTAGACSAAAAAGACCGCATATCAGAAGTGAGGATKARAGTGCACCTAAAAGAAAGAAATTACATGTAGCTTATAATGACAACGAATTGTTTGATTTACTGCCAGATCTACCTTCACCATGTGTCTCTGAAAATGAACAGTTTAGCGCAGATAAATACACTCAGACTGAACAACCAAAAAGTAAAGAGCAGTTAAAAAGAGAATTCTTCATTGATCAGGCAACTTGTGAAAATAACTGCTATAGATACACGGGTATGATCAGGGCAAAACTAGACTTAGTGTTTGAATTCTTGGAGCCTAAGACAAAAGACCTTCGTTTCTGGAGAGGAAGCAAAGGGACAGCTAAAAAAAGGAAAAACAGCAAGAAAAAAAGAGAGAAGCAACAAGGAGATTTAACTAAGTGGGAGCAATATATTCTAACTCTAGTAAGGACAAGGAGGGGCTTTGATGTTAGATTTCTTGCAGATACATTTTGTATTTCTGCATCACAAGTATCTAAAATTTACAATACCTGGATCACTTTTCTCTCAGAAGAACTCTCATTTCTGATTCCTTGGCCTTCAAGAGAGGAAATTGATAAATCCCTCCCAGATAGGTTTAAAATCTTCCCAAATGTACGGGTTATAATTGACTGTGCAGAAATTTTCMTTCAAAAGCCCAAAATTCCATCAAGTCAAAAGATCACWTGGAGCAGTTATAAACATTGGAATACTTTCAAACTTCTTGTTGGTATAACACCAACAGGGGTTATATCATTTCTTCCACCACTTTGGACTGGGTCTGTGAGTGATAAAGAAATTGTACAACAAACTGGCCTGCTRGACTTGTTAGAAGATKGAGATGCTCTCATGACAGATAAAGGGTTTCTTATTCGAGACCTGGTAACATTTAAGAATGTGTATCTTATATCACCTACATACTGTAGAGGGCCAAGACTAACAGCTCGTGGTACTACACATGCACGTCGTCTTGCATCCTTGCGTACACATGTTGAGAGGAACATTTTGAAATTGAAACAATTCAGGATTCTTTCTGGTGTAATTCCCCTTTTATTGAAACCAATGTTGGACAAAATAGTTTTTGTATTAGAGCCACACATTGTTTTTCCTGTTTTCAATGTACTTAATTGGTTGTCTGTTTTGAATACGCTCAGATTTATAGTTGTAGATCTGTTCTGGTTCAGCGAAAGGTATATTGTTTGTAAAAAGTTAGAAAATGACTACTGTAAACTGACTACAAATTTTTCACAGTTCATATTGCTCTGCTCTAGTGGCAGATAGGACTAGTTTGCATGGAAATGTTGTGTATTTTTGTTAAGGTTTTTTTAAATTGAGAAGACAGAATCTATATTTACAAACAAATAATATTTACAAACAAAATCATTTTGTTCACTGAAACAGAACAGTACCTTGTATGCTATATGTGTCAATTATTTATTACTTTTTTGTACAGATTGCTTTTCAGGTAAGAATTCATAGTATTATATCTATATCTGTTCTAAAGAACTATCATGCAATGCTATATTTTCATCTTTATATTTTCAAAAACTTCATGTAATACTGATGGTACAATGTGGTTTTCATAAAACTTAGAAACACTTGACACAACCATATCCCAAAATTTTAGATTAAAATCAACTTCAACATTAAAAAGACCCTTGCTGGTATATACTACAAAATCACATTTTCTCAAGCCAGTAACTGCCATACCAGTCTGCACTTGAAAGTAATGCAAATGGTTTTGATTAATGCTGTACACTCCATCATGGCTTTTTAACCCTCCAACACTAGGAAGCAAGAATGCCTCTTTTGGGTCCATGTCTTTTCCATTGAAAGGGCATTTCACCTCAACCACTGAGTCAGTCAAGCAACAGGTGCATCTCTTAATGGCATCAACACTTGCTCCCAGCCAGGGGAAATCTGTGCTTACTAAAAGACCAGGTTCCTCAAGCTTGAATCCAGAGTGCTTTTTTTTGACAAATTCTGCTGTAAAACAATTTTGCCGTAACTTCGTTCTTGATTCCATACTCCATTGCTTCAGAGATGTAAACCTCATCAGGATTTTTTTTAGATACAAAATTTTTAACAGTTAGGGAAACATCAGTAAAAGGTTTTTCATCTAGAGTATTTTGTCTTGTATATAGGGCTTTGATTTTCTTACCTGTAACCATAAGATGGCGTAGCTCATGCCATTTTGAATTATTGTGTTGACCTAGCGTAGCACGATTTATAAGTTGCTTTTCTCGTTCTGAGATTGTTAATGAGTCCATAAACTCTTTAGCATATTTGGTAGCTGTAAAAGTGGAATCTTGGTTAACTTTGGTAATAACAAAATGTTCTGCACGTGACAATATAGAAAGGTAAGAAACATCATGGTAATTAAAAGCATTGCGTTCAGCATTATCAGCATAATCAAGTTTTTCTTCTTGATCCATTGGAAGAAAATCAAGTAAGCCTGAATCTGGATCAATTAGCCTTAATTTCTTTGCGAAATCACTTTTTTCTGAAGAAGATATGTCTTTTCTGTGTTTGAAAGGTCTAGGATCAAAAGAATCAACCCAAGAGTCATCATATGGTGTAACTTTGCGTGTTCTCTTTTTGCCAGGTGCTGTGTAGGACATCTTCATTTCTGATATAGGACATGGTTTATGTTTAGGTGTTGGCTTTGGATTCCAGTATGCTGAAACAGAGGTGACAGATTTTTTCTTGTTTGAAAGAAAATCATCCAGCTCAAATAGGGCTGCACCTAAGTGCCTGCATCCCTGATCTCCTCCACCTTTACAACGACAAAACCCAGAGTAAACAGAGCCAAGACTATCCAGTATAAACCAAAGTCTGTAGAGCTTTGTACCTTCTTGAGTTTTTTCTTTTTGAGTAGGAATCACTCCTGCTTCAAATACAAAAAAACTGCTACCGTCAAGATCTTTCACTTGCTTAACTCCTAATTTTTGAACATGACCACTTACACACAAAATATACTCCTGAAATGATCTCCATGTAGAAAGCATACCTTGGTCATATTCAGTTGGACTCATGATTAAGTGATTAAAGATATCCATCAGACCAAATGGTGGTAAATTAGAAAAATCATTTGAAAACTGTTTCATATCAAAAGGGTCAGCAATAANTTCTTCAGGAAACAGCTTCGAATGGATAGAGGTACATTCGATGAGCTCTTTAATGTCCTTAATCACTCCATAACAAGGCAAAACACACGTCTCAGAAATTGCGTACGACCTGAGAAGGTACTCGCTACTGCATTGTATCGACTTGCACACGGCAACTCTTACGCTACGATCGGTGCATCACTTGGCATTGGCAAAAGTACGACAATTGAGGCTGTTCAAGATGTAGTTGAAGAGCTCTATCAGCTGCGAAATGTCTACATCAAATTTCCTACCACTGAAGCAGAAACCCGTGCGAGTATCAACACATTCAGCGACCTTTCGGACCTTCCGAACATTGCTGGGGCAATAGATTGTTCCCATATTGATATCAAAGCTCCATTTGAGAGTACCGTGGACTACTTCAGCARATACCAGAGATACGATTTCATTATTCAAGGTGTAGTCGACGGCAACAAAGTTTTTCTTGATTTCGCCGCAGGTTTCCCTGGGAGTCTACATGATGCGAGAGTATTACGCAACACTTCTATTTACAGGAGAGCTGAGAACAGTGATGTACTGAACGAGCCATTATATCACATTGGAAATAATTCTATAAGACCCTACCTCGTTGGTGACAGTGCTTACCCTCTCTGTGGGTGGATACAAAAACCATACCCTGAAGCTACCAGAGATGCAGACGAGATAACTTTCAATAAAGAGCTTTCTAGTGCACGTGTTATGGTAGAATGCTCGTTTGGTATCCTGAAAAGCCGTTGGCGAATTTTATCCAAAAGGTTGGATAGTGATATTGATTTTGCAATCAAGTGCGCAGTTGCTTGTGCAGTGCTACATAACTTTTGTATTTTAAATGGAGATGATTGGGACGATGATGGCGACGACGATACTGATGATGATRACGGCAATCATAACAATGGTGTAATGGATGATGGAGATAATATATGAGAAATTTTAAAAGATTATATTGTCAATTTATAAAACAATAATTTTATTTAAATAGTATTCCCTTGTACTAAAACGCAATCTACATTCCCGTGATTTAAGAAATTTTTATCAACTACTACTGAATTGTATAGCTTTATATTTGCATATTGTACGTACATTATGAATTAAAATTGTAGTGGAATTCATAAAATAATCGATCGTACTGTGCATGTACCCCATTAAAAAATTGTTACAAGTTCTTTTGGATTGCACTTAAAGGTCATTTTTACCATACTAAAGATGGTCATTTTTATAATCAAAATTTAATCAATAATAAAATCTCCTCTGAATAATCGTAGATATTACCAAGAACATGAACAAAAAAATTGAATGTATTATATATTTAGACCTTCATTTGTCTTTTGAGTTGTCCTTTGCAACTATTTTCAAAAAATCACCCAAAAAATTGTTCATCATAGCCATTTGCTGGGTTTGCGACTCTAGCATTCTTTCCATCGAACCAACAACTCGTTCTCCTTGAGCTGCGATACCTTCAATGGCTTCTTTTAGATCACCGTCATCATCCTCTTCTCTTCTCCTTTTCCTTCTCCTCTTTTTTCTGTCTGTCCTCGATTCGTTCTTTGATTTTGCATCATCCTTCTCGCCCTTTTCGGCATCACTTTCATCAGGATTTGAGCCCGGAGTTGCTGCAGTTGAGGCCGGACTATTAGCAGTGCTTGTGGAGGTAGAGGAGTTGCTCGAAGCTGTCGCATCGGTTTCCTTTACGTGTGCGAATGTCACAGAGTCTCTGCATCCCAAAACTTCGTCAATCTCGTCGTAGAATATGGACTTTCGTAGAGGTCCTCCGGTTTGATTTTTATTCCAGTCCCTCTTTGCTTTATAGAGATCAACGAGGTACTTCATCTTTCTGATACATTTATCAGAGGTTTTATTTGTCTTGCACTTTTTATTCAGAGTTTCTGCGATATCTTTCCATGCCTTTCTGTTATCTTTGGAATTTATGATGTCTTGTCTGTCAGCCCACAACTGCACAAGCATTTGCTGCTGGTCATGAGTCCAGCGTTCGTATTTCTTGAGGTTCGAGGAGGTAGTTGTAGCAGATTCAATCTCAGAACTCCCCGCCGTTGTTGGATTTGATTCTTGGCTCTGTGATGGAACGTTGATATGTCCGCTGCTTTGCGCTGTAGCATCTGGCTGGTTTCTTTGCTGCTGACCATTATTGTAATGATAATTGAAGTAGTTTACGTCAAATTGATAAGGGTAGTATTGAGAAGTACTTGGATACGGCCACGAGGGATCCATTATGTTGGCGAAGTGGACGTCAAAGTGACATATGACCTCGCTCGGGTTCAGTTGACGATTCTGGCCAAAGTCCAACCAAGACCAGGAAGTTTATTGACATAAAATAGCACCTTTCTATTGTTTGGTTATTTTTGTCCGAGAATTGTCCTGCTTTGGAGGCCTACAATTTTAATCGGCGGTACCTTTGAAAGTTTGTTGAGATTGGACAAAATTTGTCAAGTCGCAACAATTCGGTCGCATTAGAAAACTGTATTTGATGACAGATATTTTGGTTAAACAAACAGGTTACAACAGTTTTTTTGTCCAGTGCGACCCGGGCCATGGTGGACGTCAGAAAACGGTTGGTTTTCACTTCCAAGATATGTTTTTCCACTGGCCCGGTCTGTAGCTATGCTTNTGATTTGAAAACTGCAGAAGGCAAAAAGGGCACTCTCTTTTGTACCTACGCTCCTTCTCTAAATATGGATAATGCAGGAAGTGATAAAACGTGATCTGTCCTTATTTTTCACAAATACAGTTGCATAATGTACCAATACAATGACATAATCAACGATAATCCTCAAACTTCAAGTAAACAAGTGCAACCCATAAGTCTACCGTTTCGGCGGTTTTGCACATTGCAAACTGGACCAGTATTTGTGTAGCACCCCTTGCTCTACGAATATATTTTGGTATTTCATTATTTTTTGATAATCTCTACATTCGCGAAGAATGCAAGACTTCACCTTGTCCTATATCTTTACGTAACGCACGCTAATCCTCAAAACGTTTCGAAGACGTGCCACTGCGCCCTTACGTAACGAGTGTAAAAACGTATTTTCCAGAACGCCACACTAGTGAGACAAAAATATATGCTTCTTAAATAACTTGTGTCAATGTGACTTTGATTTGCATCATCACCATTACACGTGATTTAATGAAAGTCCTGGACAACTTTGCCATAGAGCATTTTGCGCAAATATAATGGCCTAATGCACACCAACGCCATCATTGCGGAGTGCTTCCATCTCTTAGCATTTCATTGTTTTTTATATTGTTATATATGTAATGTACACACCAGGGTACAGTTTCAGAGGTTTTTACTCGTTCGTCGTTATACGGTAAACTGAAGGTTACAAAATTACAAAACTAAAGGTTACAAAAAGATATATACTTACAACAAAGGAAAATATACTTACAACAAACTGTGCCCGATGCTTAGACGATGAAGACTGATTACGAAATTACAAACACTTACTTAAATGCAAAAAATAAAGAGTTCCCTAGGGGCGTTATGAAAACATGAATTTGGCTCTAACATATATACTCTTTACATTAAGGGAGAATACACAACATTCAGATTTTCACCTTGGCCTAAATCTTGACGTAACCCCCCGGGATATTACACCCTTACGTAACGGGTGTAATAATTTATTTCAACCCCAATGTATGATTTTTTTGATTTTTTTTAACACAATCCTGTTTTATTTTGTTGGTAGTTTGTGTTATTTCGTCTTAATTCATCCTCCTTAATTATTGCTTGACGTCCCATGGTCGATCGTTTCGAGTAAACAGAAACGACGGGATATGTCCCGTGATTTTCCAGATCGCAGCACGTTAGCTTCATGTGGATTCGTATTTTCCAGATAGCACGTGTACCACATTTGATTTACTAAAGTCAACGTGACTTTGATTTACATGCTTGGGCGTGTTTTGCTTGACCCCTATATAGACGTCATTACGTTTTGCGAGAGCACCAACGATACTTTTAAAAGTTCAAACACTCTACCACCATGGTCAAGACAAGGCTCTAACGCGAAAACGGTTACTTTTCGATAAGATCAAAACACAGCAACATGTAAGTAATAGTAATATTTCTTTATCAAAGTTTTTTATTTCGCTAAAAGAATTTACAGTAGTAAATACTCGTGATAGTGACAAAAGAAAGTTGTGCAATATGTTAACATAGTTCGTCTTTTAAATGTGCATTTCATTCTTTACTGCAGTTTGTGCCATTACGTCGACAGTGGTCGAAAGACCCCGATAGCCGGGCAAACTGTGTTTTGCACGTGTTGCAGAAAACAAGTAGAGGACATCTTAATGGTATTACGAGCGCCATATCGGCTAAGGAGAAAGCGTCCCAATAAAGCGTTTTTCCCCGTACAGCTGCCGAATATCGAGGCGAGGAGAGACGTTGCGGTTAAGCCCAACGTAACGTCTCTGATGTCAGAGTCGTTTGATGTGAAGAACGTCTTCCTTCGTGCGGTGGACGACACCCTTTACACATGTATTTCAGCTATTCTCGAGAAACTAGAAAAGCACCGGCTCCTATACATCGTTTGTGCAGACCTCGTAGAGACGCCACGAGTCAGACTGAGAAGCGGTAATAATAGTCATAAGATTGCGCAAGTATTGTCCAATTTGTATGATTACGACGATCATTTCAGGAGTATATTTTGTGTGTAAGTGGTCATGTTCAAAAATTAGGAGTTTTAAA